TCTACGAGCTATAAACCGCTTAAGTGTCGCGAGGAATGATTTTGTTGAAAGCTCTACTAATTCTAAGTGTATTACTCTTGTAGTAAAACAAATAAATAGACATACGTAACACTTAAAGATTTTGACTCCTCTACCAGGACGATATTTTACGTTAAATGGTCCTGCTAAATCAATCCCTACACGAGAAAAAGCTCTACTTTGAGTAACTCTTGAAGCGGGTAAATCTGCCATTAGCTGAGTTGCAGTTTGCGCTCTAACTCTACGGCAGATAACACATTGGTTTATACACTTTCTTATAATATCTCTAGCATTCACAATCCAAAATCTATGTCGTATGACAGAAGTTAGTAGCTGCGTACCTGCGTGAAGATACGTGTCATGATAATGCTTAATAATTAAACGCGTAATATTGTGATTCTTAGGTAAAATCATAGGATGTTTCTGATTATTTGAAACTGTAGAGTTTCTGAGCCTTCCGCCTACACGCATTACTCCCGCGGAATCCAAGAAAGGACTTAAAGACAGTAATTTACTTGATGTCTTCAAGGGTTTACCAGAGTCTAAACAGAATAATTCTTCTGGAAATTCGGCTCTTTGCACAATCCTAACAATCATAGAAGTAACTTCACAGAATTCTTCAGTAGATAAATAACCCTTCATACGCTCTGTAGGTAACTTACTACAATTATTTCTAATCTTAAACACCACGCTAACACTCGACATAACTTTAACCATGATGAAAATCTTGAAAACACACTAGGCTCTTCAAATTTGGAAACATTTGAACTGGAACTCTTTTTCAATTCTTTCAACATAACTTCACTCTCTAATTCTACACTTGAATTTTGCTGTACATGAATTAGGGATTCGTTTAACCACTGCGGTCTCTTCACCCATAACTCACATTGTAGGAATTCTAATAGAATAAAACCTCTGGTCCCACAGTCTGCAGGATTTTCTTTCCCAGCAACATAATTCCATTGAATGCCTGGAACAGCTTCTTGGATTTTTGCAACTCGATTTGCCACAAAAGGTAGCCAACGGCGAGGTTCGCACGAGACCCATGCCAATGTAACCCGTGAGTCGGTCCATGCGTAAATATTGTTAATAGGCAGTTCTATGCATGATAATACTGCATGTAAGAGGTTGGTTAAAAGTAACGCAGCACACACAACTCTAGTCTCGGAAGAGACTGGGTTTTTAAGGGGCGCTACTCTCTGGTTTTCGATGTCAGAAGGCTGACTTTGACTGACGAATCAAGGTTGATTGTTCGGAGATAGATGACTGCACAATAAGCCTTTTCTGAAGCGTCGCAGAAAGCATGGATATCTATCACTACTGCCTTCGGACTCAAGACATACCTCGGAAATTGTAAGCTTGAAAGTAAGGGCAATTCTAGATAGAAACGCTTCCATTTTCTCTACTTATTCTCTTATCAACGAGTTCATCCCAACCCAGCTGTAAGTTCCATAACTCTTGTAATAATATTTTCGCGTATATTATTGTTGGCGCTAACCATCCCATTGGATCAAAGATTTTGGCTACTTCTGATAAAATAGTCCTCTTAGTAAACTCTTTATCACTTATGCATACCGAAAAATGAAACGTATCACTAGAGTTGTTCCAATTAATTCCCAATACTTTTACTTTCTTGTCACTGTTTATTTCAAGAGAAATACTGGATTCTCGTAAGCACTCGGGAATATTCTCTAAAATAGCTGAACTGTTTGAAATACACTTCCTTAAGCGAAATCCACCCCTTTTCATCATTTCATTCAACTGCTGAACTAGAATATTCGCTTCCTCTGCACTTTGTGCCCCTGAAAGCAAATCATCAACATAAAAATCACGAAGGGCAATTTTTGATGCTAAAGGAAATCTCACTTGTTCATCTAATGCAAGTTGTTTCATTACTCTAGTAGACAAATATGGCGCACAGGCAGTCCCATATGTAACTGTCACTAATCTAAATGTACTCAAGGGCTCACTAGGACTATCCCTCCAAAGCATTCGTTGCCAATTTGTATCTTCTGGGTGGACACGAATTTGTCTGAACATCTTCTCTACATCGGCACATACTGCAATTTTGTGAGTTCTCTAACCGTAGAAGAATTGGAAACAGCTCTTGCTGAACTCTTTGCCCAACCATCAAAATATCATTCAATGAAAGACCCGATGTCGTTTTAGCTGAAGCATCGAAAACAACTCTCAGTTTAGTCGTAGTACTTGATTCCTTTAATACGGCATGATGAGGCATGTAATACGTAGAGTCAATAAGAATCTCTCCCTCAGGCACTCCCTCCATATGTCTCAGCTCAAGGTATTCCCTCATGAAATCCTTATACTGTTCATATATCCGAGACCTTTTTAGAAGTGAATTTTCTAAAGATTGGAATCTACGCATAGCTAATTGTCTGGAATCTCCAAGCTGAGAAGGCGGAGAGTGAAACGGTAATTTCACAGTATATACACCCCACTTTCCTCTCTCGTATATGTAGATTTGAAATAATCTTCACATGCTCTCTCCGATTTAGTAAGCATGTCAAACGTAGGTACAGCATCCAATTTCCAAAAGTCAGACAGCATCTGATCAGTTTCCACTTGTATATTATTAACATAGATAGTAGGATTAATTTCTGTTGAATTATTCACACTACCTGAAATAATCCATCCTAGTTCAGAACGAGAAGCTACCGGTTTACCTTCTTCGCATTTAATTATTTCTCCCTTTAAAAGAGGTAAGGCAATATCTACGCCTAAAAGTATATCAACAGGCCCACTTTTGTAAAATGTTGGATCTGCTAATCATTAAATCATTATATTCCTCAACGTACTTCTTATCCAATGTAAAATGCGGCAAAGTTCCAATAATTCTATTGATGATAAATACTGGTGTTTTAAATGACACTTTCGCCGGAAAATGCGGAACGAAGTTTACTTCCGTAATTCCATTAGTTTTCGTATCCAAAGACCCTAAACATGAAATAAAAACTTTGGCATTTCTTCTTGCTAACCCTAGCCTTTGTACACAATCTTCTGAAATCAGGCTTGCTTGACTGCCAGGGTCAAGAAGGGCTCTACACAATTGGTATTCACCCGATGAATCTAACACTTTCATAATAAAACTTCACTCTGAAAATTAAAGTCTGAAACACAAGATTTAATTACTGGACTAGAACTTGCAATATTCTCCCCTGACCCAGCTGATTGAGCGCGAGGTTCTGGCCCAGGGAAAAATGGCTTAGCCGTCACTGATAATTCATTCGAACTGTTCGTAACTCCTTTACGTGCCTTTGGCTCATTTTGAACTCTTTCGAAATGCAGTAGTGTGTGATGATTTTTAAAGCACTTTTTACATTTATGTGTACTTCTATACTCGAAAGCTTTATGATTTGAAACCAAACAATTAAAACAAACATTATTTCTCTTGACAAAATTAACACGTTCCTGAACATTCATATTTAAAAACTTATTACATTTAAAAACTGAATGACCGGCTTTACAATACGTACACTGCGCGCGAATCTCTGAAGCCAATGAAGTTAATTTGTCTTTTGTAACTTGTTTTTTAACACCTTGCGGTTTACCTGCTTGCAAGGGTTCTGGCATGAGATTTCAAGAACTCTAGCAGATTATTAAGTGTTGGTATTTCCTCACTCTTTAATGTTCTTTTCCCGACCATCCTCTCGTCGAAGAATCCAATTTAAACTGTACTATTAACATTAAAATAGTATCCGCGAATTGCTTCCACTTTGAATCCTAGATTTTTCAAACGAACATACACACTCTCTTACAGTGTCTACTAACGCTAATATCTGACTAGGAATTTCAGAGCTTGTAAATTTGATAAATACAAGATTTTCTTTAATAACGATGAAAGTAATTCTCTCTTATGTGAAAATCTTTGACACAATAAATGCCACGCTATTTCGAAATTCCTGTCACAAATAGTTAAAGCTTGAACAATTCTCAAAGCATCTCCTTTTAAAGAACCCTTTAAATATTGTAGCTTTTGTGCACCTGATAAACGGTCATTATCCACTATCGCCGTTTTAAATAAATCAAAAAATATAAACCATTCTTCAGTACTGCCACTAAATACAGGAAGAGTTAGCTTAGGTAAGCGTATACTCGCTATTTCACAAGATTTAGTTTCCACACTAATGTCTTTAACATTCTTAACTCTGGTTAGCATTAAAATTAACTCATCAACAGTATCTTGTATGACCTGTTGTTCTTCTATAAATACATCAATATCTTTTCTTCACACACTACAAATATGTTCACTAAAAATATCCGAAAGTTCGGTCATTAAATTATTTTAATCTAGATTTAAAAAGTTCTAACTGATCAACATCAGCAGAATCGTAAGTCACTGTAATTTTGTCTTTCAGTTTACTTAACTTAGCTTTAGCTACACGCTTTTTAGTCTTAAGCGTTGTAAATTCCATTATCTAATAAGAAAGATAAAAAAACACACTGACTCACCAAATTTACTGCGACTCCGTAGCTGACGGACCAAAAAACATGTACGTTCCGTTGTTTAAAAATAGTGGACTGTAAATTGACTTGATATTACTTCAGTATAGAACCCAAAAAACCTCAGAATCATAACGTTGACCGAAACTTCTTTATTGACTTTTAAAGTAAGTTAGTTGAGTAACGGCGAAGACCACACTGCCAACTCCGAACACAGTAGAGGCTTACCAACACAAACTCAGAAGAACCTCTGCTTAGTTGAAACTCCAGTAATTCACAGCAACCTGAAAGCTCTAAACGCGAGCTTTAAAAACCTAACAAATTTGCGTCTGCGCCGCTCCTCGGTACAAAGAAAGAAATACAATTTGCATAACATCGAACACAGTTTAGCGGTTTTTAAAGATAATTCAGTTGTTTTGCTATTCTGAGGAGTGTTGTATGTGTGATATTAATACAGTTTAAAACATGTTCCTTTTAAAGGATTAAATTTAGGAATCTAAGTGTATATTTTTTATTTTTAGGTGCGGAATCCGTTTTATTTATATCAAGCATTCATAGTGACTGTATGGCTGTTACAGTTCTATTACCAATTTGCTATTTGTGTGGTGATACTATCAGTCATATCTGTGTCTATGACAGTGTGGGAAACACGAAAGGTAAGTGATTGCACTTCCAGTAGTTCTGTTTTTGATGGTGCACATAATTATGAATTCAAATATACTTTTTTAAAATAAGTAGTATACCCATTAAACATTTTTTGTTCATTTTAGCAAAGCAGAGCTCTGAGAGATGCTATGAGATCACATGCCATTGTTACTGTTATAAGAGATGGAAAAGGTAATGTATTATGCGAAAAAATACCTCTTTACTTCCTTTTACGAAGTAAAAAGGAAGTATTGTAATCGCGAAAAGTTTCAGGCATCATATTTCAACGCAAATATCCATTTTCACGGCTATAGAATGCAATTTAATGGTGTTTTTGCGTGACATCTGTACGTAAAGACAGGATAAAGGATTCTTTTTCCTCAAAAAATTGTAAAACTAATTTAAAAAGAATTCTGAAGAGAATTTTTCGCGGTGTCTGTGCGTACGTATAAGTCAAAAACATCTGTGCGTATGCAACTCGCATAACTCAAAAACGAGCAGCCTCAGAACGTTGAAATTTTATATATAGGACTGCTGAACGCTGCTCAAGTGGACTGCCGCCCTTAACTATAGTAAGCCTTACGGTATTTGTTTCCACTTGGCAGATGCTGTCTAATCATGACTCGCTGATCCGACAGCATTTATTATTTCAAAATCTTAGGTTTCATAATCACTCATTATTTTACATAGGTTTTTAGTATCTATAACTGCCTGGTTGTTAACTCAAGTTCTATTTTAACTACTACGCTGCTACCTATAACTATACTACACTACTTTAACATGGGCAATGTTGCTATACTTCCTTTTCACTACAATACTACTTCAATGTTTTACACTAGACCACAATACATTTTACACTGAGTACTATACATTGTAACAATATCAATATATAAATGCAAGACATAGAAGAATATATTAATGCAAGACATAGAATATCCTATATAAATGCAAGACATAGTAAACCTGGTTATAATATAATACGATAATATTAGATAATAATTTTCTATCGCAAAATTTCGAGTACATACAATGCCTACAAAACTTTACACTCTAGTACTATAAGCTACAAAAGTACAAACTCGGCTAGAATTGCATTTTACATTGGGTACAATACATTGTGATTCTATTATATATATGTACAAAATTTACAAAATATATAAGCATTAAAGTCGCATAACCTCATACTACTACTTTATACAGATATACTGAACAATTACTGTAAATACAGTAGCTCTATATCTTGATTACAATTCACACTGTACTAGTTAGCCATATAATTACAAATTAAGAAATAATATACAATGTTAATCAAACCATACACTGTTATTCATTATTGATGCAGGTACCCAAAGATAATACTATAAATGAAAAATGCTAAGGTTAGGTTACAATACATTTTTCAGAACCATTCCTAGTTAGCAAATACAGTGGAACTACCAACAACATGATTTAAACATTGATATTTCAAGCATAAAGCATAATCCAATTTATATTCTGTACTCTAACTTTAAAAAAATTAAAAAAAAATATTCTTTTATTTTTCCCTTTTTTTTGGGGGGAGGTAACAATAGGTTATGCCTCCATCTATGCTGAGTAAATAAATAAATATAATTCTGCCAATGATGGAATAGAAACAATTTAACAATGATACAGTTATATAACTAGTAATTTTTACAATACGTTTTAATGATTCTTTCAGTTATGAGACTTATTAATTGTAGGGTAATCTAAAAGTCACAAAGATGTGTACAATGAAAAATTAAGAATCTATGCACCAATGTGGTTAAATCACACAAACATTGAACAGTTCAAGGTTCTGCAATGGTAATAAAACTAATGTTATGTCATTCACAAGGAAGTCTTTACCCTAAGATGATCTTTTAATTGTGAGCGTACAAGGTACAGATGTGTGCAGTAATTGTCAATTATTCTGAAGTGTTCGCTCTGTTTATGCCTGCATGACTCTGTGCACAGTACTTTAATACCTCATTCAATTTGCGTTTAGCAATACTATTCTTGCAGATTGTTTCTGCCCATTGTGGCCAAAATAAATCACTTGGTCTCCTCAGGTGATAAGGTTTGGTGGATGCACAATGGAAGAGATAGTGATCTGGATCACCTACCTCTCCACATTCACAGAATTCTGTTCCGCTTAAGTGGAACCTCTTTAAATAGGTAGGGAATGGTCCATGTCCAAAAAAAGTGGGTCTGTGCACCGTTCGTAACTTTTTGCTACAGTTCCCACTTTTGGAAAAAAGAGTAGGTCCTTCTACCCGTGGGTGCTGAGTCCCACCTTTCCTGCCACTGGCATAATAAATTTTCAAGAGTACTTCTCTTGAGATAAGAGGTTGGGAGTTTCACAGGATATTCTCTCAGGCTTTTATCATTTGCTGCCGATTTGGCAAGCTCATCTGCCTTTTCATTGCCTGTGATGCCCACATGAGCTGGGACCGGACCCAGACCAAGTGTGGACGTAAGGAGGGAGGGCAATGCAAAAGAATTTTTTGAGCTCTTGTACATAAGTGCTCCTGCTTATATTTCCTCTAATCGCTGCCAGACTAGAGGCCGAGTCACTGAAGATTGTTGCTCTGAATCTAAGTGAATAAACTGCAAATTTAATTGCTGCTTTTAGCGCTGCAACCTCTATCTGAAAGATCGTATTTCTAATATCTAGTCTTCTTTTCCATGTTTTAATAATAGTCTCCCCTTGTAAAGCGCAAAATGCACTACCGGCGCCTCGCTCTGTTTTGGATCCATCCGTGTAGAGGCTGAAGCTGTTCTTTTTTGAAGATGCGTACACAAGTTGGATGCTATCGGACAAGTCTATGTCTGCGGGGTGCCCTAAAAGAACTGATTTGTGCTTTTCATAGTCTGTGTGATAATAGTTCTGATTCCATAATGTTGCATTCTCATCCAGTCTCAGCACTCTTGCCAATAGAGATTCCCGTTCTGCTTGTAAGTCTAATGGTGGTATACCAGCAAGCACTTGAAGTGCTGCTGTAGAAGTGGTTCTGTATCCTCTGCATATCAGTAATAATTGCATTCTTTGTATTGTGAGCAATAGTTTAATCATATGTGAGGAGATATTTTCCCCCCAAATTGCTGCACCATACAAGATAATCCTCTCGGATATAGTACGATACCAACTTCTCAGAATATTGGCTGGCGTTCCCCACTGTATTCTTGCTGTTTTGAGCATGTTATTTGTAAGGCTGTCTATTTTCTGTTTCACCTCCTTCAGGTGTGGAACCCAAGATAATTTATTATTAAAAGTCAGTCCCAAGTACTTCAGATTGGGCACGCATTTGATCGGTATACCGTTCATTTTAATGGACGGGTTTCTTTTAGGAATACCTTTCCTACCTATGTAGAGCAATTGGGTCTTCGTTGCAGAGATGATCAGTTTGTAACTCTTGGCCCAGGCTGCAAAGTCGTCGACTGCCTTTTGCGCCTTTTGTACCACGTCTTTCCTGCTAGTAATGACTAGAAGAAAATCATCTGCGAAGGCTTGTATATTCACATTTGGATTATTATCAAACAGAGTAAAGGCTGTGTTAGCCACCAAATTCCATAACGTGGGTCCCAAGCAGGAACCTTGGGGGCATCCTCTTTGCAGTTGGTAATTGATAACCCCTTTATTCGTAGTAACCTGTACTCCTCTATCTTGCAGATAACTTCGCAAGAGCTTGATAATTTCAAAAGGGATTTGTGCATTATCCAGGCATTTAATTACGTCTGGCCACCATAACGAATCGAATGCCCCTTTGATATCCATTCCCACTACTATTGTGTATCTGTCATTGTTCCTGCTGGCTTCGATATTCTCCAGAAGGTTTCTTAAGTAAGTGCCCCCTCCGTAGACTTCCCCTCACAGAAACCAAACTGATTTTTGTTGATGTAATTTTTAATCTTAAGAAAGTAGTTGAGCCGCGCTAAGATGACCTTCTCTAGTACCTTGCTAATGGAAGGGAGAAGACTAACTGGTCTATATGCTCCCGGATCCGATGGATCTTTACCTTGCTTGTGGAACAATGCTACTTCTGCCCACTTCATGGCCCTAGGAAAGTGTCCTATTTTCCAACAAGCCCTACACAACAAAAGAAAAAGTTGAGGGAACTCATGATGAATATATTTGATCATAATATTATCGATGCCATCCGGTCCCGGAGCTTTCTTGTTTACGAGGCCTTTGACTATTCTAGTAATTTCCTGAATGGAAGGGAGCTGATGGTCATGCTTTTTGCTGGTCCAAAGAAAGTTTCGAAAGTTATATCTTGTTTGAACATGCTCATCAAAGTCATTCCTTACATCATCCTTGGGAAAGATAGTGGTGAGCACTGACAGGAGGACATCTGATATGCTAGAGGCACTTGGTGCCAGTTTTGCGACCAGCTGAGTTGGGCGAAAGGCTCTATCTGTTGCGATTTTTTGCACTGGGCCATAAGTCTCTTTTAGATTGGAACAATGTTTTTTCCAAGATTCAGTTTTCGCTTTCTGTATGCGCTTTTTGTAGAGAGCACGTTCTTTCCTGTACTTTAACATTTTTACGGATCTTACTTCTTCTTCTTGTTCTGCCTGTGCCAGCCTCCTCAAAGCCCGTACTTTGCTTCTATGAGCTGTGAGACTGGGATTCCACCAGGACAATGGTTTGTCAACTTGAATGGCTTTCCTTTTGTAGGAAGCACTTGCTGCTTGAGTGATATTCTTTACTAGAGTATCATACGCCTCATCTAGTTGGACTGGTGTAGTACAATTATTTAAATTTTCTTGGTTAATTACGACATACGGCCTGAGCTTTTCTAGAAATTTCTTGTGTCCCCCAAAGCAAGTCTTAAATCTTTGTTTCGTTTCGAAAGACACTGAATTTACCAGTTCATACTGGATTATCTGATGGTCACTAAAAGAAGGGAGGTCAGAAACAACCCAGTTGTTCATATACTGTACAATTGGGGAGGATGCTAAAGTTACATCTGGCCAACCTACTGCTCTAGATGTTCTAAAGGTAGGAGGGGAATCCAGTGTGTTTACAACTGTAAGCCTGTGCGCTGTGGCAAATTCTATGACAGCTCGTGCTCTATTATCCTCTCTGTCAGCTCCCCGTAGTGGACTGGTTGCATTGAAGTCCCCAGCCACGATAGAGTATTTTGTGAGCCTCAAGATTGCTGGGTCTATTTCCTGTAACAGCCCCTCTA